TATATATATATATATATATATATATATATATATATATATATATATTATCTGTAGTAATTCTATTTCTACTCCCTCCCATTCGAACATCCTTACACAGCACATTTCCTCTTGGGGAGCGGTGCACTTGAACACGATGCATTTGGACACAGCCAATCACAGCACCGTGTGATTAGAGACATTTGTAGGGGTTGTAGGGTCCCTTGGAACAGCGACTTGTGATTGGACTGTGTCCAATTGCCCCGTGTCCAACTGATATACACCCTCCTCTTGCGCCTAAGCGAAACCGCGATGTGCGGTGTTCCTCCCTAGTGCCCATCGGTCAATTACAAATGATTTGAATATTCGAACTTGCTCCGCGCGATCTAGAACGAGGTTCTCCATGATCGGCAGCATCTAGAGGTCCAGGAGGTGCCGATCCACGTAAGCCATGAGAGCGCCATCCAGGGGTACAGAGAACAACCGCACGGTGGACGACCACTGATAAGTCATTTTTTACATTATTTCAATACGCGCGAAATAACGATTAACGCCTGCGACTGTTCGATCTACCGTAAGGTTATACTACAGAGGTTATACTACGCGTCTTGCGCGAAATCCATCGCGATTACCTTTGATCGCACGGGTCCCCGGGTAGAATCACGCGATTCGTTTAGCCCGGAAAATTGCGATGATCCTGATCCCGTGCTAGAGTTCAAACGCTATTCTTCAGCGTGACTGCAACCCGCCGGGATGTAACATTTGCCAGTCTAGTCGGGGTGTTGTTGTACTCTATAATATTATGGAAACGAGAAATGGATATACGCGCAACAAAAAAGTGATAAAATAGGAAGAAAACTATAGCCTCTCTATTCTAGCTCTCTTTCTACATGTTGGCTTCACTCTATTAGGCTGCGTTCAGATTCCCCACCCGGGTGTATTCTATTACTAGAAGTGCTATAGTATATGTCACATATACTATAGGGTGTTTACGGTAAATCGAGTATGAGTTAGTTCCACCAGAACCGAAAAATATGATAGGCACGACCACCTAATACCTTCATGATTTATGACAACTCAATGCTGTCCGGTAAGGCGAGTAGAGTTAGTTAACCTAGTAAATAGCGTTCGAACGAGTCAACATTATCAGGTAATAAAATTGTGTAAAATGTGAAACAATTACATTAAAAATCAATTAATTATTAAATTTTAGGAAAATTATAAATATTAAATTGAAGTTATAAAAAGTTATGAGAAAATATCATGTATTTGTGGAATATCCGAAATAAGAAATTCAATTATTCTAATCTACAACACATTTATTAAAGTTCCACAGATTTGGCTTGGTCTATAGTGCTACAGAATGGCTCAATCATTAAATGAAGTGCATGATGCTGGTATGTATATAATAATAATTCCTTAATTAACATAATTATATATAAATATTATTCAAAATTCTCTCAAGCAGTAAATAATTATTGTATTATATTATTTAGTAAATTACAGAACTCAGTGGACTGATGCGATGGTGAAATTGCTGTTAACTGAAATAAATAAGCATGTAGAATCTTTTACGAGTCCAGTAAATAAGCAAGTGTGGAAAAACATTGCTGCATCCATGAATACTCATGGTTACAATTTGTCGGCGGAAAATTGTCACGTGAAATGGATTGGAATGAAAAACAAATATAAAAATATAAAAGATGCAAATAATAAAACAGGCGCAGCAAAAGAAACATGGGAATATTATAATATTATTAACGACATGTTAATTAAAAAACCAGAAATTGCACCGTTATCTCTAGCATCAAGTTCACGAGGTTTTCAACTGAATAATACTTTAAATACATCTGACAGTATAAATATAGAGACAAATTGTAATAACTATAATGAAGAAAACGCAGAAAATTTATTACATTTCGGATCAACTAACTTAGCACAGAAGCGAATAAGTAGAAAAAGAAAATCCCAAATACCATCTTGGGTTGAACAATTAATTGAACAAAAACAACGACATCATGAAAACAATTATGCTCAGCGAGAGCGATTTTTATCCTTATTAGAAAAATCTTTAAATACATAAAGTTATATTATATAAATATTTCAGTTATGTAGTTGAAAGTATAAGAAGATATATGATATTAAAAGTTTTATTATATTGTTATCATAATATAATATATTTTTTTGTTATTATGTCTAAATGTTTCACTGGTTTTTGTTACACGAGT